TGAACTGTGGAGGTCGGGCCCGGGGTGCAGACTGTGAACTGTGGAGGTCGGGCCCGGGGTGCAGATCTGCACTGTCAAACTGTGGAGGCAGAGGCAGGAGATGACCCAGATTTGAGACAAGGCAAGATTCCAACATGAAACCATGTCAGAAAGAGAAGGGGAGGGGTGTAGCAGAGAGAGGGAGGGAGAGAGAGTTTGAGGGAGAGAGAGAGAAAGGGAGGGAGAGACAGACAGACAGACAGACAAAGAGAAACAATTGTCCACAAGGTGGCTCCGGAAGCCGGAGGTAACGAAGCGCAGGCCTTGGGCTGACACCTTTCCAGTTTCTTGTGCCTTCCGCTAGTCTTCTCTGCTGAAGCAAAGCTTCAGTGCGTCTGTTTGTTTTCAGGAACCTGTCTCCTAACCCCTCCACCATGCTAGGGATGGACCCCCAGCTTTTCTACCCCTTAAGTCTCCAGCCCAAATAGCTCATTTTTAAGACGCACTAAAATGAGCAAATACCGTTTAAGTCATTCACAACACGAATCCAACTTCAAACTGCAGGCCAGAGGTTAAGGAAAATGGAGGCGGTATACCACATTCCTGTAAAACCCAAGAGCCACCTGTCTGTCTACACGGGGACTTCACAAGCCAGTTCCGGAAACGTAACGTCAAACCGAGAAACAACTACCGTTCCACGTGCATAAGGGAAAACTTTAAAGTCACAGTCAGGCCAAAGATTATTTCATGCTTCCTTCCATTTTCTCACACTTAATTATTTGCCACAGATAAGCTTCAGGAGTCAGATAATTTCCACAAAAATAACACAGTTGGACTAGAGCCAATAAAACTGACACAATTGGATTAGGGCCCATAAAACTCAACTCAAAACTGGTGCCACCAGTTTTGAGGGATGGGACAGGATTACTTATCACTCCGTTCCCTTTCCCTCTCTCCGGCTTTGTTTTGAGAGGGCAATCTCAAGTAGCCCAGAATAGCCTCAAACTTTCTATGGAGACAAGGCTAGCCCTGAACTCCTCATCCTCCAGAGCGCGGGGCTCCGGGGTGTGCATTACCGTGCCCAGCTCTTCCTAGCTTTTGAATTCCAAACCACGAAGTCTTAATCCATAGCCAAAGCTAAATTTAACTAAACAAATGTGAAGGGCGGGAAAACGGCAACGAGAAAAAACACTCACTAGGTCCTCACTCGCTCGGAGCAGGTTATTTCTGTATCCTTGTCGGTTCTCCGCACGCCCGCGCTGTTCACGCACCAGCACGTGGCGGTTCCGTTGCACTGCTTGGCTTTAAAGAGCCCTTGCTCGTCGCACTCAGGATCGTATAGCCCATCATTGTCCTGGATGGCGCCATCAGGTTTCTGCCTCCTCCCAGACTTACTGTGAGACATCTCCGCCTTCATCACCAGACATTTGGATGCCACTGAAAAGAAAATGTGACATCAAACTGAAAAAAATAACTACCGTTTTCACGTGCACCGCGGAAAAATTTTTTAATTTAACGTCAGAGTCCCAGGCCAAAGATTATTTCACGCTCCCTTCCACTTTTCCCACACTCAAATTACTTGCTGGAGATAAGAACCTCGAGTCAGGTAATTTCCACAAAATAACACAGTGGGACTAGAGCCAATAAATTTCAACTCAAGGTGCTTCATTTAAAAAGTATTATCAAGATCAAACGTCCAGGCAATTAGGATCTTTTACTCACGTTTGGAGCACACGACAGTATTCGGTGAACCATAGGACGTACACTGGCATTCACCTTTTTCATTCAAAAAACAGCTCGTTGCCAGCTTGTAGCTTTCACAGACACAGCCTAGAAAATTGTAAAAATTCAGTTTAAAACGTAGCTACAACTGTCAACTCCTTCAGTCAATCATGCCTTTAGGAAACGGTCCTGGGCCAGGTGGTGGCGGCACACACTGTTAGTCCCAGCACTCAGGAGGCAGAGACAGGTTGGTTTCTGAGTTCGAAGCCAACCTGGTCTACAGAGTGAGTTGCAGGATGGCCAGAGCTACACAGAGACCCTGTCTCAAAACAAACAAAAGAACAAGGGGAGGAAGAGGAAGAGGTGGACCTGGGACTGGTGAGATGAGATGGTTCAGCTGTTAAAGGGGCCTGCCACCAGGCCTGATGACCAAAATCACACCTCTAGACCCACATGGCCAAGAGAACTGTCAAACTGTCCTCTGACCTCCACACATGTGCCTTGTCACACAAATGTGACACACACACACACCCAAATTAATAATTTTGATGGTGGTTCGTTCTTTTAATCCCAGCACTCTGGAGGCAGAGGCAGGTGGATCTCTGTGAGTTCAAAGCCAGACCTGTCAACACAGTGAGTTTCAGGACAGCCAGGACTGTGTAGGGAGGCCCTGCCTCAAAAATAAAATAAAATAAAAATCCAAAATAAATAAATAAATGGAAAAGATAAACTTTAAAAAAAAAGAAGAAACATGTAGCCCCAAATTCTTTTCAGCTGTAATATAAGTGCTTGAGTGTCTCATTCATCAGTTTGTGCCATTAGAGTGTCAACCTGCTTGTTCCCACCTCCACTTTTCTGTATTGCTTATTTTGGGGAGAGCAGAGTGAATTAAGATTTTTCAGCTTTTTTTTTTTTTTTTTTGGTTTTTCGAGACAGGGTTTCTCTGTGTAGCTTTGCGCCTTTCCTGGAACTTACTCTGTAGACCAGGCTGGCCTCGAACTCACAGAGATCCGCCTGGCTCTGCCTCCCGAGTGCTGGAATTAAAGGCGTGCGCCACCACCGCCCGGCCGTGAATTAAGATTTATTAAGGAGCCGGTGGTGGTGGTGGTGGTGGCGGCGATGGTGGCGCACGCCTTTAATCCCAGCACTCAAGAGGCAGGGGCAGGTGAATCTCTATGAGTTCGAGGCCAGCCTGGTCTACAGAGCGAGATCCAGGATAGCCCGGCCTGTTACACAGAGTAACCCTGTCTCGAAAAACCAAAAAGATTTATTAAGGAAATGTGACTAAGAACTCCCCAGACTGGGAGGGGCCCTAAGGGAAGGATACTTAGGGCGGTGCTGAGGATACAGCCTGGGGCCCCACTCTAGCTGCCTGGGCCCCTCCCAGTGAGCTACACCCTGGGCCTGTATTTCATTGGTGTTGAGATAGCCCGAGTTGGTGTCAAACCTGAGGTTCTCTTTCTTTTTAAATGTATTATATTTATCAACTTCCTGGGCGCAGGGGATCCCTGTGGTATGTGCACAGAGGTCAGAAGATAAACTTAGAGTTCTTTCTCCCTTTCCATTACATGAGTCCCGGGGATCAAATGCGGATCATTAGACTTGGGGAATCTCCCTTTCTACCTGTGGGGTCTGGGAATTTAATTCAGGAGTAACGTGACACACTGAGACATTTTAATGTCCCTGTCATTTAAAATAAATCTTTTCCCTTCCTTCTCGGCACCCCGCCCCCGCCCCTTTCTGGAAGAGCCTAGTTCTACAGCCCTGGCTCACCACCGCCCTCCAGCCTCAGCTTGCCAAGTGCTGGGCTTGCTTCCGACTGAGGCTCACTCTCCAGTGTCTTCCTCCTTTCCTCCTCCCACACCCTGGTCTGCTAGTTCCTTCATCCTTTCCCGAACAGGTCAACAATTCCAATTCTGAGATCTACGGTCCCTCCCATCTTATCCCTCCCTCACCCAGTTTTCTTAAGGAATGCCTGCCTTGGGGGCCCCAGAGGTATCTGTTCAATCTTTTCTTCATTAAACGGGGTCTGGTAGCCCAGGCTGGACCCCAGCGACACACCAGGCTGAAGATGACCTTGAACTGCCAAGCTTCTCCTTCCCCAGCGCTGGGGGTTCCGGGTACACACCTGGCTTATGGGGTGTTAGGGAATCAAGCCCAGGGTTTGCCAGACACTCTACATCCCAGCCCTCAATCTACAATTCAGCCCCAGGTTGAAGTTAGAAAAATACAAATTGATTAAACTGCATTACTTAAAGCGTCACCAATGAATATTGGCCAACCTCTGCCAGTAGAGAATGAAATCCTTCCCAGAAAACAAAAACTAAACTATGTTTAATTTAAAAAGTGAGGGAGAAACAAATTCCTTCCAGAGGGCTTTGTTCAGTTGTCTCCACCTCCAGACACGATTCTAGAAATAAATCAAGAGTCACAGCAAACTCTCCAGTAAGAACACCTAGGGTCAAACTCCATGTCCTGCTCTCTACAGACGGTTCCGTCACCGGCTAAGTACAGTTCCCAAAGTCTAGAGAGAAAAGGAGAGCAGCGTGGTGACTCAGGAGATAAGGGTCCCTGACCACCTGAGTTCGAGCCCCTGGACCGACGTGGTGGAAAAACTGACTCCCACAAGTTGACTTAATGCAAACGCACACCACACACACACACACACACACACACACACACACACACACACACACACACGCCCACAAGCCTAAAAGGAAGTGGAAAACTTCCTTTATGAATGTTGGATCACGATATAAATCTACTTGTTTTACGAAACCACAAATATGCACAATTTTTAACTAGGGAAGTCTTAAGAAGGGAAAGATTACGGGATTGTGTTTTTAAAAGGTCCTGACAGTTTATCCTTGTATCTGTCCTCCCCACAATAATATGGCATTAGTCACGATTCTTAGAAAAGGCAAAACACCTCCGGCAGGTAAGTCCCAGCAGGCCCGCCTCCGACGCGCAGGTGCATAGCGGCCTCTGGGGAGCTACCCGTCCCCTCCCGGGGCCCACATCCGGGGACCGTGGCAGGTACGGGGCGGGGGGGGGAGGACTGGCGGGTCGCAGCGACAAAGGCCCGCGCTTTGGGACCTGGAGCCCCAAGTTGGAGCCTCTAGACCCCGGGCGGTGGCCGCTCCGTCACCCTGGCCACACACACACCCCGCCAGGTACACCCCACCGCCGCCTGATCGGAGCGCACGTCCGACCCGAGCCGTCGGGTCCCGGGGTCCCACCACCGGACCAACCCGACCCGACCCCACACCTCCGCTCCAGGTCCACGCCTCACCTTGCTGAGCCGCGGCCAGCGTCGCCGCGACCACCGCGAGCAGGAGCCCGAAGGCGAGGGCCCGGGGGAGCGCCATGCTGCGCGCAGAGCGGCGG